CTCGTCTCCTGAGCCAGCAGGTCAGAAAGATCAGGAACAAACAGGGAAGCAGATGCATGACATCCGACTCAAGCGTCACTCGGCTGCAAAGGCTGTTTTGCTAACCCAGCTGGAGCTGCTCACTGCCTCTCTTGCTCTGGCAGGAGCCAGTATCTGAACGAGACTTGCTGGGGCCTGCAGTGCAGGGCAACTAGACAGGGGAGGGTGAGAATGTGTGTGCGTGTGTTGGGGAGGGGTAGAGAGAGAGAGGTAATCACTACCAGAAGTTGTTCCTGACCCTGGCATCCTGGAGACTATTCTCAAGCCCCTTCATTTAAACCATGCTGTGTACTCCCCAGAAAGCCCCTTGCCCCCACCTCTACACTGCTCTCCCATAAGCAGTAAGTCTTGGCTAGCCTGATTGACACAGGTACTGTTCCAGGCTATGCAACACATTAGAAGGCTTGGAGGGCTTTAGAAGTAGACAGAATGACAGTAGTGAGAATCACAATGGAGGCAAAACAAAACTAAAATACAGGCCTGGGCTCTGTATACCAGCAGAGGGAGGTGGTGGATGCTCACAAGATCAGAGAATCCTAAAGTGAAAAGGACCTTAGAGGCCAACCCCTTCCCAAGATATGACATCTATCCCTAACATCCCTGACAAGGCCATCCAGCTTCACTTCCAGGGACGGGGACCCCAGGACCGTGCGTGGCGCTCACTTCAGAGTCTGCCCTCACACAGAGCGCTTTGCCGCTTTGGTTCTTGTCTGACCCTTTGAGCCTGGTGTGTTGAGCTGTGGAAGCCAGAAGTCACACCTCTCTTGAATCTCCTCTTCATTTCTCATGTGACTCACGTTCTAGAGTTTTGACGTCTTGGCTGCCCACCTCTGAATGAGCTCCTTATCCAGAATTTGATGCTCTGGACACAACTGTTTGTTAATTCAGCAGATTTCAGTAGAGATTCGCAACCGGTTCAGAGCACAGGTTCTGGGATCATACTATCCTAGGTTCAAGTCCTGGCTCCACTACTTACTAGCTTGTAATCTTGAGTAAGTTACTTAACCTCTCTGAACTTCAGTTTCCTGCTCTGTAAAGTGAAGATAAAAATAATAACAACTCTACAGAGGATTAAGTGATACAGTGCGCGTAAAGGACCGCCCATAGTGCCTGGCATATGGTAAATGCTCAAAATTTTGGCAGCCATATTGGACTAATGACATACTGAGTCTGTACTCAACTAAAAGCCAAGGGTCTTTTCAAACAAACTGCTAACATTTATCCTTATTAAACATCATTTTGTCAGTTTCAGTTCATTGTCTCATCCTGTCCACATTGATTCATTCTGTCACTATACATTGGCTAGCCCATCCATCTTTGAGTCATCTGCAAACCCAACAACACGCCTTTTATATTTTTATTTGAGCTCTCTCTCCAGTCTGATGCCAATATGTTACTCAAAATTCTTTAGGGTCAGCTGTTCAACCAGCACTCAAGTTACTCAACTGTGCTGTCCTCCAGTCCACATCGGCTTCTCTGATTGAGAAATTTTTTTCCCCCAGAAATTTTGAAGGCTCCAGAGAAAAAGTTAATTTATATTCAATCACTTCTGTTTAAAAGGCCAGGAAATTATAAAGCCTTTTAGAAAGACCTCCATCAAAAGGTGGTCAACATAGTTTGGGCAGTTGACAGGGTAAATTTCATTGATCTAGAACAGTCCCTCATGGGCAATTGTGTAAGTCTTCCACAATGCCAGAAGATGAGACATTACTGCAAAGGTCTTCTGTGTTTCTCCATTTGGTTTATCCTTTCTCTCTGCTAGAATAGGAACTTCCCAAGGTCGGGAGTCATTTACTTCACTTCATGTCTCTCTTCAGCACCTGCGTGCCACAGAGCAAAGGCAGTCTAAGCTTTGCACACAGACAACTCTCAATGCTTGCTGACCAGCACGTCACCATGAAAACCAACCATTTATATGCACACATCTAGCCGACAGCGGGAAACTCAGAAGGGTCCGCTGTGGGAATCAAAAGGACAGAAGTTATGTGTTTCATCTTTGTCTCCCTCCGGGTACCTGTAACACCCCATATTGCACATGGTAGGAAGAGAACTCAGATAAATTATTCTGAATGTTGAGTAAATAACATAAGGGACAAAAGCCGCAGTCCCTGAGTCACACTGATCCTGTTCACATGCCTTCATGTGGAGAGTACACTATTGATACAGCGTCAGGAAACACTGTAATCAAGAAATGTTAACTGAGGGCCAGTGCCTGCATACAGGCCATAAGACATCGTAAGTCCTAGGGGGCGTGAATCTTGGTGGAGAGGAGATGTCTGCAGGAAGTTTATATCTGGTGTGTCTCATGGACCATTTAAAGGATAAAGACATCAAATAGGCTCCGAAGGAGGGGAACAACGCTTTTAGCCAAGGTCTTTGGAAAGGCTCCACAAAGAGGGCAACTGGGTAGCATTTTAAAGTCGAAAGAATCGGAGACACCTTTCCTGTGGAAGACTGGCCTGAGTCACAGCAAGGGGCTGGGCGCAAGGAGGGTTTCAGGAGCGACAAGTAGATGATATTTCCGGAAAAGGGGGCTCTTATAGACGCCCAGCCCAGCTTTCCCGGTGAGCCACGGCACACGCTGGCGTAGGAGTGCGGCCAGTGGTTGCGGAATAGGTGTTCTCTCTGTCTGCAAAGGTAACTGGCTCCCAAGGGGCTCCAACCCACGTCCTCTACCTTACTGGCATTTTCCTCGAATCTGAGTTTATAAGGCCAGCTAAACAAACTATATTTGGCCTAAGCTGCTCGCTGTAGCCAAACTGCTAAATATCATCACCAGCCAAAGCCACTTTATGAGATGGATGGGTAGGATTTTTCATCTAAAATGATAAACTTTGCCCTCTCGCTCTTCCTAATGCTTCCCATCTCCAGCCTCAGCAATAACACCACGCAATCTCTCACTGGACAGTCTTTCTTTTCTCCTCACAGTCAAGATACCCTTGAAAACTACTGTCTCCTAGATTCCTTACAGGTTTGGCCTTCCTGTTTGTGTGAAGGGGCGGGCCCTTGGATCAACTGTTGCTTAGTAACCTCTCTACTGTGCGGAAGGGCCTGATTGCCTCCCGTGGAAGGCAGGCAGCCCTTGGAGAAACAGAGACATCATCTACTTTAAGGCTGAGGCCTGCTGTTGGCTTTGGGGCTGCCTGTAGTGAAACACAAAAATCTAAGTCTCTCACTTAATAGTTAGCTCACTTAAAAATGTTACTTAAGATTCAATTCTTTCTATAACTTCATTTCTTTCCTCTGACCTCTACTTTCACCCCCTGACTCCTTGGCTTTTGGTTTTACAATTTTAAGGAGAAACCTACAGAACAAGTTCATACACTTCCCTTAAGAAAAGTCATATTTAAGGTTGATTGTTCTTTTAGGTATGCAAACAGACCCAAACTACGTATTTTTTCCACAAAGGAAGGAGGAAAATTGGAGCCACTGCTGGGTAATTCCGGTCACAGGCTGGCTTTTATGGGCCCCCAGCATATCCATCTCCAGGAATAAAAGCACTGCTGAGGGTTTTGGGGGTCCTACCCCTTTTGGAATGCCGGAGGCCGCTATAGCTACTCAATGCCACCAAAAAAAAACCCCTAAAACAAAAAAATAAAACCCAAAACAAAACACCAAAAATCAACCAAACAAAAAAAAACAGCCAGTTGAGTCCATGCAGTAGGAAGACAACCTTTTCATCAGCAGTCAAGTTCAACAATTAGGAGATCGCCTAATTCTACCTTTGGACTTTCAAAAAAGTTCTGTTATCTGTGGTTAAGGCATCCTGTAGGCCCCGCTTCATCATTCCTTCCTTATAGCACACAGGAAAAGAGATCCATAGTTCTTAGGAATAACTCATTGTGCACCGACATAATACTTCATGGAGTGTTTTCCTTCTGGTATCGTGAGCAAGAGTATAGACTTTGAAATCTAATAGATAGGAGTTGGAATCTAGTTCTGCTACTTCCTACTTTGTGATCTTGGGTGAGTTTTTTTAACTCCCTGAGCCGCTTTCCTCGTCTATAGACTGGAAATATTAACACTCACCTTGTAGAGATCTTGGGAACATTCCATAACGAATACAGCCCTTCCAGGATAGTGCCCGATTCTTAGTGGGCATTCAAACATTAGTGCCCTTTCTTCCTTCTTCTGTCCCAAACCTCTACCATTCCATCTTCATCAGAAACTAGCCAGAGACCAGGTGCCAGAACAAGACAGTCCAAACGGAACCAGATGTTCATGAATGAGGACCATCCTTTATCTTGCTCCTGGGTTCCTGCTGTGTTGTTCTTTTTTCTATTTGTGATATGCTTAAGTGTTTGCCCGGAAATTTGGCCCCAACCTGGGCTTCATATTGACAATTTCTGTCTGAGATTTTAAGAATGCCACAGAGAGAGAGTGAACAGAGAGGGCAGAGTCTAGATAGACAGCAGTCACAGAAAGGAAGTGCAGTAATCTTGAGCTGGGGAAGGAACAGAACTGTCTTCTTAGGGGAAGTGGATGAAGACACTGTCAGGACTCAGGGAAACATGGTAAGTCTCTCTGCCAACAAATATTTATTGAGCACCTACTCTACATGGGCTCAGCTTTGTAATCAGATTCCAAAGACCCGGGAGGCCTGGTTCCTGCCTTTGAGTGCTTGTAGGCTAAATGGACATACACAAGACTGAGAAAGATCGACAGCAGCCTGGTTGTATATCATACAGTTCCTAGAGAGTTTCAGACTGAAGGAGCAACTGGATATGATTAAGCAAGTAAGGCTGCCTGAAAGAGGCAGTTTGAGAGATAGAGGGTCACGGGTTGAAGGAGAGGAACTCAGGGTCTGGAACAGCAGGTACAAAGGCTTAGTGCTAAGGGGCCATTTCAGAGAGCAAAAAAGCCCCCTCCTCAAGTGCTTTGTGAATCTCCCTTCACCTCGAGCCCTCTTTCATTGGCCCGGGAGGAACCCCAGCAGGTGGCTGGGCCACAAGTGGTCTAACCTCGCTGGATCGGAGGACTCCGAAGAACGGGTAGAGGAAGGCAGGCACCAGGGCTGCAGCTCCGAGAGGCACGGCCTCGGACACCCAGTACACAGCAGTCACGATCAGCACGTAAGCACAGGCAGCCTCCTGGAAGGGGAGGAAAGTGGGCAGTTAGTCACAGGGACAGCCACTGCCACTGAGCATCCAGACGAGATCCAGGGCAGAGGCAGTAGGCACCCGGACTCAAACATGGGCACCGGGACACAGCCCTGGGAGGTGCAAAGCTGGCCTTGGCAGGGCAGTGTGGTGGATCCATGGCAGGGCCCATACTTTGGTGTGTGAAGTAATGGCTGATTCTCGGGTGGGCCGATGCCTGGCATGATGTTTGCATTGGCCTGCAGCACAGAGGCCACGGGACTGTGATGATATCACAGCTCTGCTGGTTCCAGAAACTGTATAGGGTGGGGACTGAAATTAACTGCAGTGTCCAGGTCCAAGGTCATATACCATAAAGGTGGAGTTCACAGCTTTAACTTGGACTGGGGCAGAATATTTTGGTGTCAAGTTGATTGGACACTAGAGGTTCTTGGCAGAGTTAAAGGTAAGGATTAATTTATCTAACCAGTTCACATGTGAGCTCTGAGATTGGCCCATTTTGGGCTAGATAATTCTTCGCTGTGGGGGCTATCCTGTGCATTGTAAGATGTTTAGCAGCATCCCTGGCCTCTATCCACTAGATGTCAGTAGCATCTCCCCAATTGTGATGACCAAAAATGTCTCCAGACATTGCCAAATGTCCCTCAGAGGGAAAATCGTCCCTGGTTGAGAAGCAGTGTCCTGACTACTGTCTGGTTCTCATTGCTCTGGGACGTCATTCCACCTGCCTGATGCTCATGCAGACATCTTTCCGACAAAGGGAAGAAAGAGTGCTGCCTACCTGGAAGGGAAGGCCTGAAGAATTCCCAGCATTTTCTGCAGCCCGTTCACTTTGCTGGTTGTACAACTTCGGAGCACACAGAACAAATAAGTACAACATCCTTATAAAAATCAGCCCTCTTTAACCTTGGCCGCCAGTAATGCTGGTTGCCCTGAAGGGTGCTGATTAATGGTGTTGAGAAAGGTCACTGGCTGACTCTTGGGAGAGCTCATTGTCCAAGGGACTTAACAATGGGCTCAGGGGCCACAGCATAGAAGATCCAAGTTGGCTGTGGGTTCTTCAATTTAGACATAGTTCTAAACCATCTGGGCTCAGGTCTGACCTACCCTGACACTCTGGCTGGTGATCAAGGAACCTGACAAATCTTGTTCTGTTTATCTCTCCCTTGGATTCAGAACAAGCGTCCTCAAACTTCTACATAAAAGTTACAAAAGGTCACCATGATCAGTGAGGGGCATCAGGGGTGATTAACTTAGCTTGGCTGACGGGACCTTGCTCCCTCCTGATACGCAGGGATTATGGCGTTGGGGTTTGAGAAATGGGAACTGGGCCCAACAATTGTTGACTGTAGCTCCTACTGAGCTTTCCTCTGTAGCCAAAAGATCAGAGAGAAGTTAAAACTTTTGGAAGTGCTGATAAGACAACAGAATCAGTAGTGGAAAAAAAAAAGCCTCCCTTTTGAAAAGAATGAAATTTAAAGAAGAATTCCCTTTGTTGCAGAAATAAAACTACCCAAAGGAGTTCAAAGCCCTTTAGCCCACCTGAGCCCAGTAATTCCCATCTCTTTCCCGGGACAGAGACAGAATGGTGGGTCTTAACTGCAGCTGAAGATCAAGGGGACAGGATGTCTGTCCCTCACTGAGAAGCCCTTATTCCTTCCTAAGGACCATCAGTCTTTCTTGTCCTGGTCATCACAGGGCCACAAGTTAAGGAAGGGAAAAAGGGGAGACAGGGAGAGAGAGAGGATGAGAGAGAGAGAACTTTCCTTCTACCAGGCACCATTTTAGTTTGAATGAAGAGAATTCAGGTAAGCCATGATAAACGTTTTGATTGTAACTGCTATTAGGAATTAGCAAAGGCTACCGGAGGAAGTCACCAAGGTACCTTTATCCAGAAGTCTTAAGAACAGGATAAACTACCATCATTTTTATCTGACCTTTCCTTACAGCAGAGTGGCCAAGAGACCACCTTCAGGCCTTTCCATATATTTCCCCCTCAGTTTATCCATGGAATTTACATAATCTTCCTTTTGCCCCTTCTCAACCTTCTCATAATTCAGTAGGTAAGCTTATATTCAGATAACCCAAAATACTCTGTGACGTTTGATTACAAGAGTCCTGTGTCCCTGTGTCTGACTAGTGTCTGGCAGGTAGCTCAATCAGTGTTGGTTGAATTGAATTGGGCTTCTCTGCTGGCTAACAGGTCTCTGTTATCTACCGGAGAGAATATTTTGGCGACTCCAGGCCCCTTATCACAGACATTGGTCAGCAGGTGTGTAGGCGTTGGTGAGTATTCAGGCATTGCCTTCAAGGAGTAGTGTTGTTAGTTCTTTTCTGCCCCTGTTTATAAATAAAGGAGAGAGTTCAAAAGTGGGATGTCCTCCTATTTGATGTTTCCTGACTGCTGCTAACTGATGTTTGCATCTGCTCCTTTTCCACACGGTCCGACCACCCCAGTGGTATCCCATGTAAACCTGACCAGAGGGGGCTCGCGGTCTGTGTATGTGCTGCTGTGAAGGACTGGAATTTAGCTTGGGAGTTGGGTGTAACTTTATCCCACTGGAGACACTGAAGCAGGGCTTAGTGATGGACGCCCCCTCTCATAGCCTCTTCTTCTGTAGTATGGTAAACCAAGTCTGGGCCCCTGATTGTAGACAACTGGGTAGGAAAAAGGCGAAGGTTATTCTACCCATTCCTAAAATGTAGCTGTGGCCTGCCACTTGGAAGAACCATCAGAACTGTAGGCCGGGAGCTCCTGCTTGGGTGACATCTCTCAAATCCAGCCCAGAGCAAGCGAGTCCATTTAGGAAACTTAAGGAGGAAGTATCGGAATCTCAAAGTTAGATGCAATGGGGGAGGGATGGGTGAGAGACATTATACAGGTAGGTTTGTGCCTACTGTGGGCACTGGTGACCTCAAGGTGCTTCTAAATCATTGTGGGGGAAGAAGAGCAGGCCTCTTGCTGACACTGTGACACACAGAGAAGCCATCTTAGTCCAAAGGTGAGAGACAGTCTGAAAAAAGGGGCTAGGTCAAAAAAGGGCATTACCTCTTGCTCTGAGTAAGTCCAGCTTTAAAAATTTCTTCATCAATTATTTATAGACCCAAACAGAGCAGAGGCACACCTGTCTTTCCTTTCCTCTCTTCTTTTTTCCACAACATTCCTCTTCCCTCAACTGTATAGATTATTTTGCCTCCTTCAATAATTTATCTTTTTCTTTTTGTGGATACTTCTCACTAGTCATTGGTAACTAAGAAGCTCAAAGACAGGGTCCCAGAATGAAAAGTGGGGAACGCTACACCCTAGAGGCATGGTCCCCAAAGACGGGGACTCAGGGGGCACCTGATACTGCTATGGAGAGGAAGAGCAGGCTGGAGGCTGCCTGCTCGCCACTTGGTTAGCATTCCCTTAAACCCATCTGATACTGAGGGAAAAAAAAAAAAAACCATGTAAAGGAAAGAAAAAAAGAAATCAGCTCATTTGGACAAAGCAGAAAATTGACTGGTGTACGGGCCAGGAAAACTGTCAGCAGCAATCACTGTCTGCTAATCCCGGCCCGGGTTTAATCAGCGTCTCCCTGGCACTTGGGGGTATTTATTCTGCTCGAGATTTAAGCCAGTTTGTTTTTAAGAAGCACCGTCCTAATCCCCTGTATTTCACTTTATAACTTAATCTTGGTTACCAAGTTGCTCAGGGAGCTGCGTGGAAGGCGCTCTTCCCCTCCCACAAACACGATTAAGCTCTCTTAGCTTATTTTTCCCCAGAGTCTCAAGGACAGTGCCAGCGGGGAAGGGGTAAAGCCACTGAGAGGGGGAGGAAGAGAGGAGGGGGACAGAGCAAGGAAGGGAAGGGAGGCAGAGAGAAGCAAGCTGAGCGCAGAGCCAAAGCTGGGGCTCCTCTGCTCCTCTGTTGTGTCTTTTTAGGCTGTCATTTGGTGTCTGTCCTTCAAGAGCACAGAGAAGAAAACACAGACGGTACAAATAACGGAAGGGCCATGTCCGTGAAACCGGGGCAAGATGCCAAGCTCTGCTTTCAAGTTCAGAGGGAACTTGAGAGATTAAGAGGTTCAAACCCTGGTTATCAGTCCCCCAAGACTGGCCCACAGACCCTGGTGAGGTGCAAAAGAGCCTCCGCGGGGGCCACACTCCACCCCACCCCACCCTGAGGTCCACAGTCCCCTCCTGCCTAATCCTTCTCCTCAGTATCATCATGAGGAGGTCTTCCTGCATCCGTAGTTACCCTTACATCCACATGGTCACATGGGGACTCCTGACAAATCCTGGCTCACCAGCGTGTCCTTCTCCTTATCAGCACACCCTGCCAGCCCTGGCCCACAGATTTGTGTAACACACATCAGCCGGTTCAGCTGCAGCCCTTTTTTAATCTCACTCCTGGCTGGGGGCCATGGGGTTGGGGGATGGGAATAGGACAGAATGATGAAAATGGCAGTTTTTAGGCAGAAAGTATTTTAGCCTCCTCCAGAAAGACCCTTCCATTTCTTCAAACCAACAGGAAACCACGTTGAAGAATTGCAATAAGCACCCCGTTCTGTCCACCCACCTCCCCTCCTTGACCTTCCGCCTGACCCCCTGGCCCCAGGAGAGGACAGGCCAGTACTCACGCTGCTGGGGTAGAGCATGGGCAGAGGAAGCAGCACGAGCGGCACGAAGACAACGAGCAGCAGGTTCCTGGCCCGGAGAAGGCCCTTCAGCAAGCCCATCCTGGACCTGTGCGCTCTCCTCCTCCCCTTGGAGCCCGCCGCAGGCCCGATGCCTTTGCTCCTCGCGATGCTCAATGCTCAGTCCAGAAAGACTTCGTAAACCTCTCTCAGCTTCCAAAAGTCCTCTTTCGTCTTGGGGGCAGAAGAGGAGGGCAGTGACAGCCCGTTTGCACAAAAGGCTGGGCTCCTTGCCTCCTGTTTTAGGTGGGATTGGCCAGCATAGTCTTATGCCCAGCAACAAGGAAGCGGGAAAAGATGATAAATGGGGACATAGTGCGTTCCCTCTCTGCTTGCTCAGTAATAGAGTAACTTCATTCTAGGGCTCAGCAAAGGCCCCCTTCATCAACAAAATTGCCCCTCTGCTGCTGCTGTTTGGCCTTGAAGAAGTCATTTAAAGGCTTAAAAAATTAAAAAGACCAAGAGCATATCGTGCCCTCCATCATTTCTCTCCTCTCTCTGATGCCCTGTTTCGGGCAGTACCAGGGTCACTTCCTACCTGTGCTCGCTGTACCCCTCTTCCCTTAAAAAAACCTAGTACTCCCCTTCCCTTAAAACAAGCCCCCCGAGTTTGTCAGGGAGGAGGCAGCCTTCAGATGGGGTTGGTCTTCTCTCCCAGGACCTGGCACCTTAACTCAGTTCAAATTTCTTTCCTTCTAATTGGTCTCCCACTTATAATTTGCTTTGAGCCTGGGCCTCCAAAGCAGAAAAAAAATCCCTAAGACATTCCTGGTTGTCACGGGACAAAATCTTGCTGGAGGCCCACTTTAACTTTCGTTCACCTATGGGAAGCCAGACAGAGGCAGTAGCCCCGCCCATTCCTTACAGCCAATCAGCACGTTGGAAAGAACGAGACGGTATCTCTTCCAAAGGCAGTTCAGGATTGGTCCCAGCAGGGGCCTGCTGATTCTGCAGACCTAGGCAACTTGCAAAGCTTATTTTTGTTTCTCAGACATCCTAGGGGCTGAAGTGATGACCATGGTTGTAAACATAATCTCATTTGCCCAAGCACTGCTTTATCCCTGCAGACCATGGGACCTGGAGCTTTCCCTGGGGGACCGCTTGCTGATGAAAGTCAGAGGAAGACGATGTGTCCGGTGGCAGGGAGAAAAGGAAATATTAATCCTGGAGAAATTTGCCCCAGAGTGCACACTGTTAAACCTTTCAGACCTCCCTGGTGGCAAAGATCATTTGCTTCAGCACCTGGGTGAACACAAAATGTCTAAACCAGCAGAGGGTGTTAGCCTGTGAGAAAGGCCACAGACCCTTGTGGCGAGAATGCCTCTCTGGAAAAGTCTAGCTGCCCGTATCATTTCAGAGGCCCTTCCAGCCCAGATGTGAGTGGACTTTCTGGCTGGAGTAGGTACCCAGATGCTCTTCTCTGAGGTTCTTTACCGAAAAAGAAGCAGAAGCTTCCTTTGGTGGGTATGCAAGGAGGAGGTGGAAGAGCAGGGAATAAGTTGACAAGTTCAGGGACAGGGTCTTTGTAGCCATTGGACTCTGGAATTTCTGCTGCTTACAGATGGGGAGAAGCTTTTCCCTTTTTTCAGAAAGTACATGTGGATTTGGAGCAAGGAAGAAAAGAAAAGGAAAAAAGAAAGGAAACTCTAAAAACTTTTAAAGTTGGTGGTCCTTGGCAGCACTGCCTTCATCTGAGAGAAGCTGAGCAGAGTTAAGGGTTACCCAAGTTCTCTTAAATTCACAGAACACAAGGAATGGCATTCCAAGATCTGCAGCAAAACCAGTTGAAATGATCCCCAGGCTAAAGGGAAAGTGACCGGAGAAGTGACTCCAGAAAACCAGTTCTTCCTGACTTCTAAGGCAGGTGCAACTGTGGACTACCTAGATCCCTTTTGAAATTATCTTGCCCTTGTAGGATGAGCTATGATGACTCATCTCTTTCAATGCATGTGGAAGACTGGCTACCGTATTTACTACATTCAGGCCTCATTTTTGTGATGATTTTGAAGCGTAGAATGAACAATACCACATGTGTGATGTTTTGGTGGCAAATATTAAAGACTGGATAATAATAAACAGCTGTGGAAGTCAACATCCACTGTTAAACACACATACCACTTCAAATTCCTTGGTGAGATCATCTGAGATAACAAAGATTCCACTGAGCCTAGTAACTTGATCATGACGTTTTTATTACACCGTAAGTGAATATTTGTTAAATAAAATTAGGTAAGGTCAGTGACACGGTAAGACCAGTAGTTCTTCAGGACTCTATCCATTTTTCAGATGAAGAAGACATTTTCCAGAGTACAATGCTTGAGAAATCTAAGACAAATTCCACTTATATGAGGTATGTAACGTAATCAAACTCTTAGAAACAGAAAGTAGAAGGGTAGGAGCTAGGGGCTGGAGAGAGAGGGAAAAAGGGAGATATTGTCCCATAGGTATCATTGTTGCAAGATGGAAAAGTTCTAGAGATCTGTTACACAACAGTGTGCATGTAGTTAACATTATCGTACTGTACACTTAAAAATGGTTCAGATGGTAAATTTCATGTTATCTGTTTTTGACCACAATAAAAAAAAAGTAAGACATTAACATAGATTAGGAAAGTAAGTGGAGCCATGTAAAGTCATTTAACAAGCATTTAATTCTGGTCCAGTTTACCTATGGAAATACCTTCCATATTTACCATATCACATGAGTGGGCTTACCACTTACGTGATTCTCTTTTAGTTAGATTCAAGGTGAGATGACAGAGAGAGGAAAGTTTCAGCACACAGATGTTTTTCAGTGTCTTTTGAGTGACACCAGAGATAGCCATGAGGATGCCAACCATATAGGAAACTTCCAGAACTTTTAGATCCTAAAATTTCCCAGCAGTATAGAAATGGCAGAAATGGTTCCATAAGTCACAGGCAAGTTTCCACTACAAACATCACATCCCAGATTGTTCTGTCTATGAGTAAATATGATAAAATGTGACTTGGTTGTGATTGTGGTTTGTACAGCGTGGTCCTAATGAGGCAAAATGGGAGAATCCGTTTCTGTCCAGTCTACAACTTACTATTCGCTGGGCAAAGGGTTGGGTTTTTGCGTGGTGGTAGTGAGCATAATATTTGATTTTGCATGTAAGTGAAATCATTGTTATAAAACTTTTGTGGGTAAACAATTAATTTGTATTTGGACTAAAATAGTGTTTAAGTATGTGGTTACTGAAAATGAAATTTTCATTTGTCTTTGAAAAAGGTCATGCCTTTCTTGTTTCTATTTTTTTCAGTCATATATTGCCACATAAATATGATCCCCGATTTATGAATACAAAAGTGCCTTTCATTTTTTGTTGCAGGGTGAATGAACTACCATTGCTATCACTGGTCCTGGGAACCATCCTCCCATTTGCAGATCTCCTACCACTGGTAGCAGCCATCTATACCATAACATGGCAGGCAGGGACTATAAGGGTGGGTCTTTCCATCTGGTGATAAAAGAGCTCTCAGATCCATTCTGATGGGGATGGATCCGTGGGTGGGATGACTGTCAGGGTTTTGCACAGTTTCTAGACTGAGGCCTCTGCTGACCTCCTCCCCACTCTACATCCAGGAAAAGTACAAATAGGGAAGGTAGGCTATGCGGCTAATCTGCCTTCTGGGCAATCCCAACCCTGTCTGTACATTGACCTTTGTTTTAGTCAGACAGTGATACCCAAAGACAGTGAGCTCACGGAGAGGGCGGGCCGGCAGAGACAGAGCGAGCAAAAGTCAACCAGGAGAGACTTGGAGCTGCCTCAAGAAAGGGTACAAAGATAAACAGAATCAGGCCTAAAGATAGAGCAGCAGAGACACCAACGAAAATAAAAAGAGAAAGACGAGAGGACTGCTTTTGTCAAAGAGAACACGTAATATTAGAAAGAGAAAAATTGAACAAAAAAGCGTGTTTCAGAGTCTGCATCGAGAGAGGTGAAAGAGGAGTAAAACGAGGGAATGACAATGAGAGAGAGACTGACAGTTATTCATCTTCTGAGCTGAGAACATCAGGACGCAAAGCTGTATTTCCCTCGGATGACGAATATCTTGTTCCTGCATCCTAGTATTTCTCCACGAAGATCATGCAGCTTGTGCTGCTTGGCAAAGCTCACTTGTTCAAAGATTTTAAAGAAGTCCAGACCAGCTTTCGTCATCATCAAATGACAGCTGTTAAATATGCTTTTCAGAATCAAATTCAGCCCAATGATTCCTCACTCATTCAAAGATCAGACTTCTTGCAACTTTAGTCTCCAGAACCCAGCTGTGAACCCAGGAGACGCCAGCGAGAGCTCTGAGCTGGTGAGGAATCTTTATTAGAACCAGGTACTTTCCTCCTAGCAGAGGCCTTCATCTCTTAACTCTTTTTTTCTTTTTTTTTTAAAGATTGGCACCTGAGCTAACAACTGTTGCCAATCTTCTTTTTTTTTTTCTGCTTTTTTCTCCCCAAATCCCCCCAGTACATAGTTGTATATTTTAGTTGTGGATCCTTCTAGTTGTGGTATGTGGGACACCACCACAACATGGCCTAATGAGGGGTGCCATGTCCACACCCAGGATCTGAACCCTGGGCCTCCGAAGTGGAGCGCACGAAATTAACCAGTCAGCCACAGGGCTGGCCCCCTCTTAACTCTTATTTAACATAGAATTATAACAAGCTTGCTATCTTGTTTTTTAGATTGTGGCGGCTGAGAAAGAACAAATTGCAAAGCGCGAGTTAGGTTGGTCAAAAGAAAAGTGCACTTGTACAGCCTCACAGTGAGGAAGGCAGCAGAAAAGCTCACACCAGATACAGAAATCGCAAAGCCTGCGACCTTTCTTTTTCTTTTTTTTGTTTAGCTTGGGATCTTTCAGGGTTGGTACAAATAGTCCAGCACACCTCTCAGGACCAGGTGACCTCCCCGTGATATCTCATAGTTAGTTAAAGGATTGTGAAAATTTCAGAAGTAGAGGAATCTTAGAGATTATCTCCTCTGACTCCTTCATTAGAATGTTGCAAAGATACTAAATAGAAGCTTAAGGGGTTTCATATATATAGTTTAAAAAGATATCAATATTGCTAAAATGGAAGTTTTGTCATTTGAAAGGGTAAAATTCTGTCACCTGAAACTCATTTTTATGTGGAGCACTTAAACCTCTGATGATGCTAAATAGTTTTAGCATGAGGATAGATGAGCGTGGCTGCTGGTGCCACCTGTTCACTACGATGACCTTCTCTGAATTAGCGTGGTTTCTCTGTTCAAAAGACAAGGCATGACTGTAGCACTTCTGAAGGCCCCCTTCATGTTTCTTCTCTGTGTTAGACCAGCCTTCAGAAAAGAAGAGTCAAGACACATAGGTTACGAAATTGCTGATTTTCTAACTGATTCTTCTTGGTGGCTTTTGGGAAGTCTATCCTTGGCTAACAATGTATTTATTTGGCTACAGCTCTAGTTTCTTTGTATCTTACTATAGAACCTTTGGGAAGATGTTCAACCTGGCACCCTGATCTTTGAGGACCAAAGAAATCTGTCTCCATCTTCCCCCTGTTCCCAAACCTCTCTGATGTCTCCTCTGGCTCTGTCCTCACACTAGGGTGTTTGTGGCAGTCACTCAGTGTTGGAGCATACCTCAGACTCCTGCATGTCGCCAGATAAACTCTTTGGCCTCTGGAGGCATCTGGAATTATCACTCTAGCCCAGGTCACCTTGTGACAGGAGTCAGGTGTGCTTGTCAGGAAGCTACAAGGGGCAAAGGGCATCGGGTTGCTTATTTTATCTCTGCTGCTCTGAGTTGGTGGTATGTGTTTTGTAGCTGGTGTCTGTAAATGGAGTAGAGAATGAAGAATTTCTGCATTACTGCATGTGCTGGTCCCTGCTCGGTGGTCCTGGTGTGGCATCTCTCAGGGAGACACTCTGGCGCCTGAGGACCGCATCAAGTCGTGCCTCAGGGCCTGGAAGAGGCTAAGGAGGGCCTGGGCCCAGATGTCCTTCTGATGACCCTGGGCCAGGGCTGTGCGGTAGGCTGTGTAGGCCAGGGTGAGCGCTGTCCTTTCAAAGTCCTCTTTCTTGAGGATGCCAGGGTGGCTGGAGAGGCTGGCACTCAGCCGGCGGATGTCTGGGATGCTCTTGGGGATCACTTCATTGCAGACGGTGTGGAAGTCAGAGGCCTTGCGCAAGGAGGCGAGCTCCTCGTCCTTGATGGAGATCTTCAGGTCAGGGCTGATCTCCAGTTTGGCCAGCAGGAACTGGGGAGAAACGCGGGACGTGGGGAGACATGAAGCACTCAGGCATCGCTGAGGACACCAATGTATTCATTACCACACGTGCTCATTTAGGGAGGCAGCTGTGGAAAGAGCTTCAGAATCCAAGAGACCTGGGTTCCAGTTCCGATTTTCCCACTTACTGTGTAACCTTGGATGAGTTACTTAACTTCTCTGAGCCTCATTTTCCTCCTCTATGAAATGATTAGTAACTACACTTCACTGGGATATTGTGAGAAGTAAATAAGACAAATATGGACAACATCTAACACTGTGCCTAGTACAAAGTCACTGTTGAAGTGCCCGCTTACTGTTTCTAGTGTCCTAGGTCAACTCCTTCATCCCTTTCTCCCTCCCACCCGCCGAAGACATTCTAAAGCATGCACAGATTATTTTGGAAAATTTTTTATCAGAAGCTAGGAATTTGAAAGATGCAAAACTTGTGCTAGGAATGAAGTGGGATACACAGATTTGTCTTCGTCTCTCACCTGCTCTTTAAGAGTGGGGGCAGTGCCTGTCATGTGCATCCCTGCTCAGTGCCAGGCTCGTATCGGGAATCTAATACCTCTTGGACTCGGAGTTCCAAGTCTTCCCTCTGTCTCCATCTTCCCTCGGCTCTAACCCATCCTCCATGCTGCTATCTGTTATCTTTCTAAAACACAGATCCGTTCATACGACCCCCGTGTTCAAGCCTTGGCAGAGGCTGTGCATTTTCCTTTCTGCTCCTGCAGCAGGATTTGAAATCGGTCCCCTGGCTCACCTGCTTGGCTACAGCAGGCTCCTTCTTTGCCAGACAGTTCCAGTGCATGGAGGATGTCAAAGCTGGAAGGAATTCTGGAGCTCACACTTGAGTTCCCTCATTTAACAGTGAGGAGATTCGGACCCAGAGAAAAACGGTGGCTTATGCAAGGTCACATGGCTGACGAGTGACAGAACCAGGACTAAAGCTCAGCCCTTGAACCTGGGATCTTACCGCTGAACCACACAAGCTCCCTTGGGAAACTTACCTGTGTTGGAGGAGGAGCGGGGTCTCAGTGGTGGAGGCGTGAGAGGCTGAGGAGAGAGCTGTGGGTGACGCCAGACTGTCAGGAGTGGAGCTCCCACAGTATGCAGCGCCTGGACACATGGCTCCACTGAGACACTGGCTTGGCGTTGCCTTAGTACTACTGCCAAGCCTGCCTCCCAGCCGCTGCGGGGGTGGACTGCCCCACCCTGCTGTCGGGGGCTGGTAGTGGCTCCTACGGCTCCAAACCCAATCTCTAGTTTTGCCTCAGCTGAGCTCCTAATGCCATCACTCCCTGTTATGGCATGTGGGAAAGGAGAGTGGGTATCAGCAATACCTTACTTTGGGATGGGAAGAATTTGACGACCTTGACAAATTAGTCTAGGCCAGTCCCTATGGCAGCAGAGGTCACTCGTTTTCAGGGGCTCAGGTCACTTCTCCAAAAAACATAGAGAGGGTGCATTGTCTTTCGGGTGGCTGGAATTGACTGCGTGGCACTGCCTACCTCGTAGAGCAGTTCTACCTCCTCCAGGGATGTCTGCAGGACAGGGTTCGCCGGCACGGACGAGGACCTCTTTGGCCGATGGGCAGCAGGGAAAAGCACGGCTGAAAGACACAAGAGTGAGCTCGCCGGGCTGCTGCGCATGCATGGCCTTCTTCCTCTGCTCCCCGTGAGGTTAGCCAGCCAGCCTTGGAGTGACCGACTTGAAGCGGGGGTGGACAGCAAATGGGGAGAGGTGACAGGCAACTCTGGTGTGTCCCAGAGAGCTCCCAGGCATATCAGATGTTACTATTTCAGACCAGTGATTTCAAGCCTGGCTGTTCATCAGAACCATCCCAGAAAGTTTAGAAAAATATCTATGTCTGGGGGTGTGTATACTCTAGGGAATTTACACTAAAACGAAAAAAAATAATACAAAATAGAAACGAGTGAACAAAAAACCCCAAATTCAACAAACGAGTTCCCTAATAATCCTGTGTCCTAATAGGACTGCACATTTTAGCTTTATTTCATCAATATGAAGCGCTGGTTTATATTTATTCACAACCCTTCGAATCAGAGGATCAGACCTCTGGCTGCCCCAGCCATCTGAAATAGAGCTGCCAAGCATCTGAACACAGGTGACAAAGTAAAGGAAGAGAGATGCCGCAGACCCTGATACTTGTCTCCAGGGGTGTGTAGAGCCAAACGCAGGGCTTCCCCCAAGGGCCAGCTGACTTAGAAATGCATTTAGTATAAAGTCGATGACTTGCCAGTGTTGGTCCTTAGTGGCTGCATTTAGAAGTGGCACCTGGAGGAAGACGATGGGCAGCTAGAGGCAGAGGGGGTAGCCAGAATTAGGAACTGACTGAGGACAAGAGAAGAGGACAGGATATTACAGAGCGTAGGAAGAGTCATTATGAATTGCAGTTCTCCGGGATCATATCAGGCTCGGAGCAGACAGCCCGAGCACCTCCACGGCCTCTCCATGTACCAGGGCACTGTGCAGAAATGATGGGCAAGCCTGTGGTGAGCGGAGAGAAAAAGGTGCAGCTTCTTCAAGACCCTTGATTATGATCTCGGCCACTCACTGTAAAAATCTACGAGACTTCAATGTGAGTAGCACCCCCTGAAGTTGTGCAAAGCACAATCTGAATAACCATACATGACAGCTCTGCTTCTTGATAATGGTGCCCTTGGACCATCAAGAAAAGTTCCCGTGATGTCCAGCATACTCTGTTAAAGAAGGCAGGGAACTGCATAAGCGTTTCAGAAGGATTTCTATCAGAAGAGAAAAATGAAACAGCTTCAACTTAAAAGATATTTCCTGAAAAGCTCTCTGGGAGGCATCTCCCATTTCCTAGAAAAAGCTGGTTGGATGTAATATTGCATTCCCTGTAACTCCTTTATTCTCTATACCACAAGTTTCTCCGGGGCTGGGAGAAATATGGCTTTATGTTTCTGCACCCCCAGCAGAGCCTGGCAGCCTTCCTGGGTGTGTGCTAGACACAGCTATTGGTGACCAAGTCCCCACGCTGAAGGAGGCCTTGGTGGACAGAGTGACCAGCTCTGCTTGCTCAGACCATTTTTGGGGAAGGAGCCCGTGAACTCCAGAGAAATATTTCCTAGCCCAGCGTTTTAGCAGAGTTTGTTCTCTTGGCCAGAAAACTGCCAATTTCCCACAGGATCATAGATCTCAGGGCTTGAGGAGCCCTCGCCTCTGTTTGCTCACTGCTTCTGCTTGTCGTTTGGGGTGGAGCTCAGGAGAAGGAGGCATCTCCTGCTCCACTGGTTGGCAATCTTGACCGCACGTTAGAATCACTGGAGGGGCTTTAAAAAATACCGATGCCTGGGTCCCCACTCCAGAGGTTCTGATTTAATGGACCCAGCGTACAACTGGGACAGTACGATTTTTAAAATCTTCCTCGGTGCTTCTAACGGCAGCCAAGGTGGAGAATCAGAGGCAGCTTGACCTGAGGTTGTACAGAAGGAGCTGCCTGGCTGTAATGGCCGCACTCAGGTTAGCCCAGTGGCTCTCAACCTTGACCGTACATCCATTAGCATCATGTGGGAGCTTTTAAAAACCCAAATGCCCAAGGCCACCCCCAGGCTAATTCCTGGGCATCTCTGGGGTGGATGTAGGCATCAGGACTTTTTACAGCGCCCAGGTGATTATGACGGGCAGGCAGGGTGGAGAAACATTGGGTCTTCCAGATCCACAGCCAAGCCGTGGTGCCCAGAGCTCACTCTCAGCTGATGGGCCATCTGAAGAGACCGAGGCCATCATGTTCTCGGAGACAAAGAGTGGAGGCACAAAGAGGCTGTGTACTTTGAACTTGTTTTCCCCTTCGTGGGAGATGACTCTAGGACCAGAACTGGTCCAGACCCAGAGGTGACCTGTTTCTTTCTGCATGTCCTTCCTTTCTTCCTACCGTGAAAAGTGAGTAAAACTCCCTTCTCAGGGTAGGATCTGAGAGCAACTTTACTCCTTTAATTCTTCTCTCTTATTGTGAAATTAAAGGTATTGTTCCCTTTATAGAATTCACACCCCAGCGGGTGAAGGAGATTGGGGAGCATAAACGTCCTGGGCCCCAAGCGCTTTCTGCTGCCGTCATCTCAGACCTCAGATGGCTGCCTCCTGGGAAGTTATTCACGGCTAGACCTGCGCTTTCTTCTCTCAATCGTTTCCCTGTGAACAGCAACTCTCTTTAACATGCTCACCCCAGCTGGACCCCTAGTTCTCAAAGAGCTGGGAAGAAAACACTTCCTGATTCAAGGCTGAGCTTAATAATGGAAATGTGGTCATTTCCAATAGTCCTTGTTCTCACACTATTTAAAATAATAACACAGTTTGGGGACGATTGTTAGAAATAGCTTTAGCTGCTAGACTAGGGGACTGATTATTGCTTTAGAAAGTGTGTGTGGGGAGCTGGGGAATCTTAAAAGATGGACCCCTCCCTCCTTCTTCCCATTCCCCGCATCGTTCCAGCACCTTCTGCCAGGCCCTCTCAGGTTGCTGTAGCTGCTTTGACAGTGTGCGTTGGGCAGGGGCCCTTATGCCCCTTTGGGCTGTGTAAGCGCAGGCAGCTCTGGGGCAGGTACGTCCACGGCTGCCCATATCTGATTCCCTGTGAATGAGGCCTGGAGAAAAGAAATTCTTCTTCACTGGTGGCGCTGCAGGTGGTGGGCGAGAAATAGACTGTGTCTGGCCATGTCAAAAATTGGGTAAAAAGTTAACCATACTGTCTCTCCCGATGTTCTTGTCCATAACAGTGAAGGCTGGACCCTGCCAGAAATGCAAATGGCTGAAAAAAGAGCTGACCAACTCTGAGATGTATATGCACAAAGCTTTAAACTAGACTTGCTCCCACATCGTTAGGAAAACAGCCTCGTTCCCCGGAAGCCTGGCCCTCAACCGTGCTGCACACCGTGGTCTTCCTTCTGTCTCCTCGTGCTTTCTGCATCCGTGCCACACAGTTCACGTCTTGCCGGCTATTGCCAGCTCCTGGGACGGAGGAAATGGGTTTTGTGCTTCCTTTGCTTGACCTTGCTGTCTGCATCAAGCTGGGCTCTGAGTGCAGGCTCAATCTATATATTTTGGAATGATTTTAAAAATAAACCAAGTATTAAAAACACAACAACAGGGGCCGGCCTCGTGGCCAAGTGGTTAAGTTCGTGTGCTCCGCCTTGGAGGCCGGGGGTTTCGCCGGTTCGGATCCTGGGCGCAGACATGGTACCGCTCATAAGGTCATGTTGAGACAGTGTCCCACATGCCACAACTAGAAGGACCCACAACTAAAATATATACAACTATGTGCTGGGGAGATTTGGGGAGAAAAAGCAGAAAACAGCAACAACAACAAAATAAAACATCCCTGGAAACTCTGCAATTCAGGCTGTGCCAGGTTTTCGTCCTTTCCCTTCCGTCCCACTGCCTACATTTATGGAGGTCATTTTAAGTTTGGGCCCCCTCCTCACTGTGAGTGGTAAGGAAATCGCTTTGCGCAGCGCAGTCTTGACCAGGCTGATAAGAGGGAGACCTGAGTGCCCCTCATTGGGTGGCCACTGACGATGGCACCTCCTCTGAGGGTGGAGACAGAGGGGAGCTGGGTGGGGAGACCAGAGACTGGCAGAAGGATTCCACTCCCTTGGGTGCCGCCTGAGCGTTGAGCCTCAGGCAGGAAGGCTGCTGGTACAATTTTGTCAAAATCACTGACTTTGTGTACCTTTTGCCTAGTGCAAAGCTGGGCCAATTTGTTTCTTTCTTCTGCACTCAATGTTCCACACCCAGCCCACTCTCCAGCTATTTGTTCAGGATGTGAATGTGCCCGCGAGAGCCACTCAATGTGACCAGTAGACACAGACCAGGGGGCCAGAGGTCCCCACGTCTCCTTGTGCGAAGGTCTTCTGCACCGGCTGGCCCTGGGGCAGGGAAAGCTTGAGCTTCTCCCCTCCCCCCAACTCCCTGGACAAATGAGCCTTCGGGGGAAACTGAGTCTCTATGATACATTGGATCGGCCCACGTGGAAGAGCTGATTCACTTTCTAAAAGTCACGCCACATGCCCTAAGTTACTCCAGGAACTGGATCCAGAGACTCATGTGTTCCAGCGTGTTCTGTCCATGTCTTCTGTTGAGAGACACATCTGGACCTCAGACCGAAGTTGTCAAAATGTGGAGCTCAGACATAATAACAGCTCATGAGCCCGCTGTGTGCCAGTCAACGTGCTTTGTGCTTTCCACATGTACCTCATGATGTAAGTATCGACATCCCCTGTTACAGGTGAAGACATTTAGAGGTTAAGAAATTTGCCCTAGGCCTCTCAGCCTGTTTGCCATGGGACTGAGATTAAAATCCACATCTCATGGGCTCCAAAACCCTGTCTCGCTGATGGGGTGGACAACGCTAGCTTTTTGTAGGCGTATCCCTCACAGCTTGGGGGTTCTTCAGTTCTGAATAACTACAGGAAGGATAGTGTAGTTAATTAGGAATGAATGAATGCATTTGGTATAAGACATATTCTTAAATGAATCACTCGTTCTTAGAAGAATCTCTAACTTCGGTTTATCGTAATACGATGGGTGAGGTCCGACGACTACAAGCCTGTGAGCCCTCTCCCGCATATC